CTGAGTACTGTACAAACACTCACCTGTCACCACCAGCTCCAGGGTATCACTGCGCTCTGACCACCCAGCAGAGTTGTAAGAATAACAGTGATATTTCCCTGCATGCAGTGTTGTCACAGATGGGATGGTGAATTTTGCCTTATTGTTGTGATCCCTTTGGGTCTGTCTGCCCCAGGGTTCTGGACTTCCCTCTTTACGTAGCACATACATTTGGGTTTCTCTGGTCCCCTCACACCAGATGGTGACAGGACTCCCTAAGTTGATCAGAGTGCCTGGATCAGCCCAGATGGTGGGTTTGTGGAGGGTCCCTGCAGAGTAGAACAAAATGAGATACATCTCTTAGGATACTTGTGCAAAGGTTACACTTGAAAATGACACAAGCTGATTGGTAAAGCCAGAGGGACATATAAAGACCCAATCTTTTCATGAACTCCTAAGTTCTACTGTTATTATCAACCCTTGTCTCCTGAATTCTGTGAAATTGGACTTAGGAGCTTGAGTTCATTAGCCCACCATATATCAGATCCTTCTTTGAGAACTTTTGTCAAATCAATTATTATTCAGAGAAAAGTCTAGGGTTTTCTTACCTGAGATTAGGAGCTCTAGATGGTTACTGGGTACTGACCACAGCTGAGGGCTGTTCCAGTAACAGCCATAGCATGTGAAAATCCATCTCTTTTGGGGATTCACAGGACCCACTTTGAACAGCGCCCAGAAGTCCCTGTAGTATGTATACTGTGATTCCATGGGCCTGGAGAATTTCTCATCTTCCATAATTAGAATGAACCTGTTATATCCATGCTGTGAGAAACACTTAAGGGTCACATACCCTCCTGAGGTCACCACAGGGCTATACTGGGCTGACAAGGAGACTTTGCTGGGATAGACTCCTAGGAGAGAAGAGGAAACTTGTGAAGTTTATTTGTTAAAGTATACATTTGCCCCTCTTCTCAGATTTGAGAAGGGGCCTCAAAGAGAATGTAGTCCCTTTTTCAAAGCAGGTCCTGAGATTAGGGATGAGTCCTCTCACCTGTCACCACCAGCTCCAAGGTATCACTGTTTTGTGACCACCCAGCAGAGTTGTAACAGTAACAGTGAAAATTCCCTGCATGCATTTTTGTCACAGAAGGGATAGTGAATTTTGCCTTATTGTTGAGATCCCTTTGGGTCTGTCTGTCCCAGGGTTCTGGACTTCCCTGTTTATGTAGCACATATATTTTGGTTTCTCTGGTCCCCTCACACCAGATGGTGACAGGACTCCCTAATGTGATCAGAGTGCCTGGCTCAGCCCAGATGTTGGGTTTGTGGAGGGACCCTGCAAAGAACAAGAAAAAAATGTTTCTTTGCTAAGACAGTTGCACAAAGAAGTTCACACTTGCAGATGATAGTTATGCTGATCTGCAGCAGCAGAAGGACACATAAAGACCAGATTCTTTCCTGAACCTAATGGCTTCTACTTTTAATGTCCATCCTGGTTTTTGAACCTTAATCACAGCTGTATCCCAAGTTCTGTGACATTGGGCTCAGGAGCATGAGCTCCCAAACCCACCACATATCAGGTCCTTTCCTGTGACCTCATATCTGGCCAATGATTATTCAAAGCAAAATCTAAAGCTCCCTTACCTGAGACCAGGAGTTCTAGGCTGTTACTGGGTACTGACCACAGCTGTAAGCTGTTCAGGTAATAGCCATAGCATGTGAATCTCCATCTCTGTTGTGGAGTCACAGGACCCACTGTGAACAGGGCCTGGAATATACCAGTGTATGTGTCCTGTGAGGCCATGGCACTAGAAAATTTTTGATCTTCCTTCATTAGAATGAAACTGTTGTATTCCTCTTGTGAGGAGCACTGAAGAGTCACATCACCTCCTGAGGTCACCACAGGGCTGGGCAGGGATGAAAGGGTGACTTTGCTGGAGTAGACTCCTAGGAGAGAAGAGGAAGCCTTCTTAGTGGACTTATATTGCTAACCTGGTCACCCCTGTTCCAGAATTGTCAAAGGGACCCCACAGTAAATACACTCATTTTCTCAAGACAAATCCTAGTGTTGGGGAAGGGTCTTTTCACCTGTCACCAAGAGCTCCAGGGTGTCACTGTGTTCTGATGTGCCATTAGGGTGTTTATAATAACACTGATATTGGCCTGCATCCTGACTGCTAATGGAGGAGATAATGATCTTGTTATTTTTTTCAATGTCTTCATAAGCTGTTGGTATCTGGAAATCTGGATTTCCTTCTTTATAGAGCTTGTATTCCTGGGCATCTAAGGGGCCTTCACAAATTAGAGTTACCTTCTCCCCAGTGGTTACCACATTACTTGGCACAGCTCTGAGTGTGGGTTTGGAGAGGCCCCCTGAAAACAAAACAAAAAAAAAACAAACAAACAACAACAAAAAATGGAAGTTTGGTCAGAAGACATTCTGTTTAAATCAAAGCTATCGGTCTCATGACCTTGCAGGCAACACCAGCATCAGCCCACACCAGCTCTTCTCCATCTCTTTTCTTCAGAGGTGACCTTTGATTCCCGCTGAGAATGTACACTTTATAAAAGCTGGGAAGACACTCACCTGCCAACACTTGGTTCCTGGGGCCCAGACTCAGTCCTGCAAGAGAATTACCTGTGAGTGTATGTCCTTGAAGCCTGAGCAGGACCTCCACTTCCAGATGACTTCTGAGCTACTGAAACACCCTTGATGGATTACTGCTCAACTATGAGGTAGACTACTTCTCAGTACAGAATTCTCTCTCCACAACTTCATTTCTCACCAAGACAAAGCAGAAATGTGAGGTTTGGGATCATAGCCTCTTCCAGTTGCCAAAAGTTTGCAGATGGTTCGTCCTCTTGCAAAAGGAACAGACACAAAGTATATTGCCTGTGCAGTATGGTGCCTCCTTGTCGAGAGTATGTTATACAGGCAGTCCTTGCAAAATCAGGAACTGCTCTTTCTAGGCAAGTGGCTTTTGTTTTCCCACTGCTGTGAAGGGTGGGGCTCCAAAACATGTGGTCTCTGTAACTGTGGTTTTCTTTGGTTTTGGTTTTGGTTTCTGACAGAAAGCCTCCTGAAACTCTGGGAGGTCTAAATCTCCTCCCCTTTCTAGGTCAGCTTCTTGTGTGCTAGGTTTACAAACCCATATCTGATTGTGGTCTCTTTTTGCAGAGCATCTCCCATATACCCATCTACATTAGCTTGCATGATCCTCTTCACCAAAGACCAGGACTTAACTAGCAATAATCCTGGTATCTTCCTGAGCCAACACCTTCAAATGAAGGTGCTCAGAGCTGATCTTTTCCTGTCAGCGTTTCTGCTTGGTTCTCTATCATTTCAGCCAGACAACACTCATAATGCTGTAGATTCCTTATCATGTCCAGCTTCCCACCCAGCCCTAGATATGCTTTGGGTATTTTGTGTGAAATTTTCTTGGGGATACATGAATACTGATTGGCTGCTTCCCCAAGAGGGAACATCAATGACAAAGACATAGACATGATTCTATCCAAATCAAGTGGGTGAAACAATGAGTTTTATAAGTGATCCTTAGAGGGATATGAGCAAACATTTTCAAATATGTTTCTTTTTTTTTGAGACCAGGTCTCAGTTTTTACCTCTGGATGTTCTTGAACTCACTTTGTAGAAAAGATGGACCATAGACTCATGAAACCTGAAGGAAGAATTCCCACCAGCTCTACCCGGATTAACACTTGAGTGTTAACATCTAGCCTTGATCTGCCTTTTGTGTTTGTTACCCCTGTCTCCATACCTTGTGTTTGAAGTTTTAGCTGAGAGTTTTTCTAGGGGATCAAAGCCTATGCAAACTAGTAACAAAATCCAATGCCCCTCCAAAAAACCTATGGTAAAAAGGAGAATTGCATTTGGCATTATCTCTCTTGGGGGCTTAGAACAAAGATATTTGTATATGGAATTGACTTGTTAAAGGTGTGATTTGTAAAACAATAAAAGGATCCTTTACTCACCAAGGCTGGTTCAGTTCATAGAAGTGAATCCACCCTACACCTAGAGAAGGATAAGAATTCATCCTTGTTGTACCTCCATACAACTTTTCTCATATCTGCCTGGACCTAAACCCACACTCAATATACAAGATATTAATGCCCAATGTGGAGCTTAATGTTTCGGCAATGCCTGTGCTACTGCCACCCATTCACCAAATCTGAGTTAGGGGCTGTGGATTAAAAAATAACAGACAAGAGACAGTGAGTCATTTGCCACAGCAGAATGCCGAATGCTGTTTTTTGAAAGAGGAAGAAAATCTTAAATACAGGCTTACAACACAATGGAGGACCCCTGGAGGGCAGAAGTTCCCTACCCAATGTTCTACATTCTTGCATCTAAGCTGTTTACACCAAATGAAGGATACACAAACAAAGAACCTCCAGTGATCTTTCAGTAGAAAGGAAACCAGCAGGGAGTCAGCATAGGGAGGACATCTGGTCAAGGTCATAAGCAAGGCAGCAGCCACTCACAGTGGGGGGCTAGGCCCCAAAGGTCCCCCCTTTTACTAAAAATGAGCTTCTGACTTAGGTTGTGTGGGAGGTCAGCAGGTCACCTTACCTGTCCTGGAGACACCTGCCTAAGCCACACAGATGCTCTAGCTTAGGTTGATGACCAATGACCACCCCCCAGGCATTACCCTTCTCAGAAAACTCATTATCATACAGACTCAACCATGTGAGGTGTAGAGTAACTGCTGCCAAAGATCTCAAAGTGGTGCTGGGCTTGCAATCTGGGCAACATAGAAAAGACCAACAGAAGTCCTAACCCACCCATAAGCCACTAGGCTAAAGGCAATTGAGTCATTCCCTTCCTTAACGTTCCTTACTGCAAATTGGAGTCCTCATAAGGTGGTATCCCATGGGCAAGTGGAACTTGAGTTTTATAAATTTTACAACTTTCAAAGCCAATTCAGATGTACACTTGTAGAATTAAATTTATTATGCCCAATAGAATGAAAGATTAACTAACTGTGGTAGCTACATTTGTGAGCAGGAGCAGGAGCCCTAACCCTAACACTAACTCTAAATTTATTAGGGTTCATGCTACACTCTAACCCTAAAAATAAATAAATAAACAATATAAATAAATAAATATTTAGATAATAAATAAATAAATGTGCTAGCTCTAGTAACCAATTATGAAATAGCAATCCCAGAAACAGTAGCAGCTGCGTGGCCACCACCACTATAATAGCAACAATGGCAACAACGATGTCAGATTCTCTTCTGGAGCATGTGAGCATCATCTGTGTCTAACTGCTATGGTCCACTGGCATGGACAGGGCTCCAGGAACACGAACCATCAAGGCCCATTTTTCTTGATCCCAGCATGACTAAAGTGGCAGCTCTGCAAAAGAACACCTAAGAACCATAAAGAAAGAAAAAAAGACAGCAAACAAGGAACAGAACTAATGGTCTCATAATGGCTACATTCAGGTTCACAAATTTTAAGGTATCTTCAAAAGAGGTTAGATGTATTTAAGGAGACCAATAAATGTTTCACAGAGCCACTCCTGAAAAGTAGGTAGTACACCAGCTTGAAGAGGATTGCAAAATATGAAAGGCTTAGCTGGCATGCTATAGTTAACCAATGAAGGTCAATGACTTTTAGAGTTATCCTTAATCTCCAAGGTGTCTGGGTGACACATTCTCAAATATACTTGCAAAAGCAGTTACAATACATTACCTTCTGAGGAATCCAACCACATGGCTACAGTTCCTAGGCTTACATTAATGCTTGCCAAGGCTGGCCATATTGGGCTCTCAATCCCCATTGGCATCAAAAGGGGAGAGTTTTTCATGAAGGCCCAATAGGTCTCTGCCATTTTGGGATTCAGCAGCAGCCACAGGGCACACACAGCACTCAGGAACCCAAAGAGGAACCTAATTGACCAAGGAAAGACACAAACAGATCCCCGGGGCCCACACCAACACTGCATCAGGTCCCCTCCAAGTGCCAGTAGAAAGATCCTCCATCGCTCCAGAGGGTGATTTGTAACAGGAGCCCTCCAGTGCTTATCTGCAGCAGATACTCCAGCAGAGTCCACTGATAAAAATTTTAAAAAATATAAAACAAGGGAAAGAATAGAATGTGGAGAGGAGAGATGAGCCCCTAGCTCCTGCCTTTTTACTTTAGCAATATATGTTTTTAAGGTATGATGGCAGCATTCTAATATTGCTTGTCCTTGAGGATTATAAGGAATACCAGTCTTATTAATGATAGAAAAATCTTGGCAGAATTTTGAAAATCTCATATTGCTGTAGGCGGGACCATTATCAGTCTTTATGCATTTTGGCACTCCCATATAGGCAAAAACAATGAAGATATCCTTAACCTTTTACCCTGAATAGACAGAAGCAAACATTAGAGAAGAATACGTATCAATACACATGGATATATTGTAATTTTCCAAAGGAAGGCACCTGTGTGATTAGGTAAAAGTCCTCAGGGATTAACTCTCAAATGAGGAACAGGTAAAAATTCAACACAAATAGGACATGATTTAACTATCTGGATGGCTTCTTCCCAGGTTATGCCTAGGTGATGACGAAGAGATCCAGCATTAAGATGATAACATTGATGCAACTGAGTAGCCTTTTCAAAGGCAGA